CAAAAAAAAGGCCGAGCCAAAAAAAGCATTTGTTCCTCGATTTAGGTTGTGCCTTGAAACATATGTAGGAACAACTTATGTGATTAAGGGTGGCATCCTTCAAATACCTATGCAGGAAGGTATTTTCAGTTTTGAATATGCCGAACCAATTGCCAAGGAGGAGTTGGACCATATTTTCCAACATTCTGAATTGGGCATCGGTGTTATGCATTCCTACATCAGGTAATACTCCGATCAATTTTAATTAAATAATTGAACAATTTATTTGTTCATTTAAATGAATATTCTAATGTTGATTATGTTTTTATTTAAGGTTATTGTATGACAAGATGTTGGTCCCGCATGATTTGACTTCAAGATTCGCATTCTTATCAGCTAGCTGTATCAGCGCACGGTCAATCGATCACACTCCAGATGTAGTCAGAGATTACTTTGTCAAATCATATATGACTGCAGATATAGAGAAGTTGTACTTTTTGCCATATAATACTGACCATGGGTTAGATTTCATTCTAAATTCATTTATTATAATTATTCATTTTTTGCCATTTTATATAACATTTTTGTCTAAACTTTTGTCTTATTTTATAGTGGACACTGGTTGTTGATCGCGATTAATCCGATGAAAGAAATCGTGTATTATCTGGATTCATTGGATGGTGATCAAACAAAATATCCTGATATGAAGACTATGGTTGATACGTAAGTGATGAGATATACTGTTCTGAATAATTATCTTTATTTATTATGTGAGACTGTTCTAAATATTCGTTTATATTATGTTAGAGCTATACAAATATTTCGATCGCAAAGAGAAGCAAAAGTGCCAAAAAGGAAGGCTAACAACATTAGCTGGATCAGAGTGCAGGTATATTTTCACATTTTTTTATTGTTATAGTGATTCTACTTGATAAAACTATTTAAACTATATATCCTGATAAATGATCGTTTGTTTTTCCATTTACAGTGTCCTCGTCAGTGCAATGGGATTGATTGCGGATATTTTGTATTGCGCTTTATGAAGGAAATTATTCACTCGGGTCAAATAGATATTCCAATCATGGTATGAATAATTTCATAAGTTATAAGATTTATTTTAATAATTAACCGATATTTCATCTGAGTAATTAGTTTTAAAACTAAATCGTGCATGTTTTGTTATATTATGTAGTACTTTGATGAATTCAAATGTGGTACTTACTCGAAAGCAGAATTGGAAGAAATTAAGGAGGAATGGTGTCAATACATTCTTGAGTTGAGAATTGTATAAGGTATATGTATCGTCAAATATTGATGCGGGATAATAATATTGAAATCATATGTATTTGAAAAGTTATCGATTTTGTAATTATATGTAAATTAACTGTATTTGTGAAGCTGTTCTGAGGATCGGCTTGTGTTGAATTATATATAAGCAGGTTTATATGAATTACAATGATTATATGCAAAGTAATTGTAATTGTTATAAGCAGGTTTATCGAAAAAAAATATAAAAAAAGTGATTATTTTAAAAAAAAAATTTATAAACTTGAAGAATAGACAACACTTTTAAGTAAAAGCGCTGCTAAAGGGTGGGGGAAGGGGGGGAATAGGCAACGCTTTTGAAAAGCGCTGCTAAAAGGGGGGAATAGGCAGCGCTTTTCAGAAGCGCTGCTAAAAAGTAGGGGAGGGGGAATAGGAAGCGCTTTTGAAAAGCGCTACTAAAGGGGTGGAATAGGCAGCGCTTTCAGAAGCGCTGCTAAAAGAGGGGGTGGGGATTAGGCAGTGCTTTTGAAAAGCGCTGCTAAAGGGGGGAAAGCGCTGCAAATAGTGCCGCTAAAGGGGGCCTATAGCAGCGTTTTATCCATAAAAAAAGTGATGTCTTTACCTTTAGCAGCGCCACTTTAGATAGCACTTTTAAGTGCTGCTAAATGTCTTATTTGGCATAGTGCAAACACAAGAAAGGGGGGTTTGAATTGGGTTTCACCAACTATGAACTTTTGTGCGAAATTAAAAACAGTGTTAACAAAAGAAATAAAAATAAATTGACACAATTATTTTTATCTTGTTTCACTGTTAACAAAGTTACTCCAGTCCACCCACCAAGGTGATTTCGCCTTAGACAAGGACTTAATCCAATAACCTTAATAGACTACAATCAACACAACTTAGACTAACCATCTTTTTTCCAAACCATAATGGATAACCTCCATTGTCTTCTTGAGAATTCTAATTATACCCTAGTCTCTCAAGGAACTTTCAACCACTGTTGATTACAAGAGTGTGTACGAAGAGATGCTTCTAGATAAGCAGATTACACAAATTTAAGTACAAAACATAAAAGTGTTTCTAGTAAGATATGAGCAACAACACCTTGCTAAATTACAAAACTATCTTAAGAATAATCACCTAGAGATTTGCATCGTATTATCATAAATTTTGTGAGCTTAAAAGTTTCTTTTAATGATTCTCCCATTTCTTGTAGAGCAGCGGTCTAATTTGTTGAGCATTGAGCATCTTCTTCTTGAGCTTATGACTTGGTGCTTGCTTTCGCCTTGCACACATACCATCGTGTATTCTTCAGCTATTTAACTTCTTGTTCTAGTTACTCTCTCTTGATTTTCTTTTCTGCTCTTGCAGCATTTTACACTTTGGTATTTAGTATTTTCACTTGACTCGAAACAACAGCTACAACAGCAGCATTGCACTCCACACTTTTGTAGCTTCAGCAGCTTGTAAGCAACACAAGCAGCTCATTCTTCAAGTCTTCAGATCTTCAATAAATAGGACTTGAGAATAGATCTATTTGAGGGTATAATGGAAAAGGTATTCCAACTGTAATATCCCAACGTTTACTTACAGGAATGATCACTCTTGTTGAATCAGAATCCTATTTGTTACACAAAGGTTCAAGTCGTAGACACATTTGCTTATGTACACTCTTAAAAAATTTTGACGTTACTTCTAAAATATTATTTTAAATTCACATGGGGGATTGTTGGGACATGTAAATATTCCAATATAATGAATTTGAAAAAAATTGTATAATTCTCACATTCTTAGAAAATTTTGTGTGTTTGTGTGTTAAGTGAGTAAATTCCTTAAGTCCCATCTCGCTTAGTTTTCATTCCTTGGTTAGCTTAATTCACTATATAAGGAATTCACATGTTTCATTCTAAAATATACCAAAAACTTATTGAATTTTTTTCTTCCTCACTCTCATAATTCTGCGTCTTTCAAATTATTGAATCGCCAACTTCCCCCTTTCTTTCTACTCGTTGAATTTTCCGAGTACTTTCTTGAATCCTCTTTGGAGAATTATTTTAGTTTCTCCATATTTGAGTTGAGAAATTATAAAGTATTATTTTTGGATTCCCTTTAGAAAATTTATTGAATTTCTTCTTAATTGATAAATTATTTTAAGTATTCAAATGATCATTATTGAATTCTCTTTGAGAGTTAGTTGAATTTTTCATCATTTGAAAAATTATTACGACGGATCTATATACTAGATACTACAAGTGATTTTTATACTATATTTGACTGGTTTTTGAACCATCATAGGATGTATTCCTACACTGATTATCTTACGTGCAAATAGTAATTGTACAATATAGAACGAGACTGTTTTATTCTGGAGGCGACGTGGTTGAGTGACTATTAATTATCAAGTGTGTACTTTTAGATCGATTATCTACCATACAAATAGTAATTGTACATTATGAAACTGAGCTATTTTATTCTAGAGGCGGTGTAGATGAGTGACTGTATTGTATAACTTTAGATAGTATCCCAAAACATCTTAAAGAGAGTGATTTAATCCACGACTCAAACCAATAATTTCTTCGACAATATTTTTTAAAATCGGAAAACAACCTGTATAAAAAAAAAAGGGTAATGTTAACTTGTGCCCTTGGGGCACATGTTAAGAACTAAATTAAGAAACATTGTTTTGAAAATTGTGTATAAACTTTAATTAAAGTATAAAATTAATTTTTAAATCATTTTTTTCAATGCAAATTTATTATAAGTGGTTTTCTTAACATGTGCTCCAAAGACACAAGTTAACGTTACCCTAAAAAAAATAGAAAAGTAACATTCTTATAAAATTAACGGCAGTGTTAAATTGCTGTTTTTAAGCCAGCAATGTAACATAACACAATTAATTAATCCTCGTTGAAGTTTTATTTTTGTGTCAAGATTATATGAGAAGTGAATAAACAAGACCACAGGCCGTTATATATATATATTATATTGTGGGCCAAGGCAATATAAATTCCCCATTATAAATAGCAAGGTATGCTATAAGTGTCTTAACCCAAGCTTCAGTTACTCACAATACCTTCTTCTCTTAAGATTTCCGTCACCACTCAACACTTTCTTTTCTTCCTTTCTTTCTCCTCATTCTTGAACACTATATTTCAAGCCACTGAAACTCATAATTCATAATCATATATATTTAACACTAAAACCATCACACTCTATATAATTAATCTCGAGTGCAAGAAATATTATCTACTTTGCAAATATTCTTCAGCTCGCCGCGTGTTTCTGACATTAAAGGTACGGTATTCCTGGAATTATGCGACCCAGAATATAAACATAAAATATATTTAAATTGTTTGTAACATTAATTAATTTAGTTCTTGTCAGTTTGCTTTTGCTTTACATGGATAAAAACGTTAATTACAGGTTACAAGAAGAAGACATGCATGTTTTGTATTAGTTGTCTTGTCTGTCTCTATACTCTATATACTCACTTAATATATTATGTCTCATTTCTCATACCATATACATGGCATTGCTTTGCTTGCAGATACATAGATTAACCTCATTCATTATTTAATGTTTGGATCCATTATTCTCTTCAAACCCTCTTGTTAGATTCTATTTTGTAGTTGGATTTAATATACATATGAGCTGGTTTTGTTAATGTAATTCATAACACGAGAAAATTAAAAAATGTTGGGTCAACTTTGTTTCAGGTTATACTTTCATCAACTTGAAAAGGAGAAAAAAAAATGATGAATATATTTTCGGTGGTTTCGGGTGCTGCTTCTGCTTGCAAGCCTATGGTGAGTTTCCAACCGCCACTAATGGATAATGATAGTTTAAGGTTTCAACAACAACGTCGTAAAGAGAAAGTTGTTGTTGTCATGGGTGCTACCGGAACCGGGAAATCCAAGTTGGCGATAGACATAGCGAATCATTTTCCACCGGCAGAGATTATCAACTCCGACAAAATGCAAGTGTTCAAAGGACTTGACATCACAACAAACAAAGTCACCGAGGAAGAGTGTCGTGGGGTCCCACATCATTTACTAGGGACCGTTGATCCTGATTCGAATTTCACATCGAACGAGTTTTGTGAGCATGCGACGCTCGCTACAGGTTCCATCGTGGGAAGAGACGGGTTACCTATTATAGCCGGTGGTTCAAATTCGTATATTGAAGCTTTGGTTAATCACCACCATGAGTTTCGTATGAAATACGAATGTTGTTTTCTCTGGGTGGATGTTTCTATTCCCGTGCTTCATTCGTCGTTATCTGCACGTGTGGATCGCATGATTGAAGCGGGTCAAGTTAATGAAGTTCGTGAGTTTTTCAACCAAAAAAATTTTGATTATGATTACACGAGAGGGATACGAAGAGCCATTGGTGTACCTGAATTCGACGAGTTTTTTAGAAGTGAGTTACAAGGTGTAACAGATGGGAGAACAATGAAGAAGCTTCTAGAAGTTGCTGTGGATGCTCTTAAAATAAATAACTGTACCCTTGCAAGTAAACAAGTTCAGAAGATTCATAGGCTTTATGGTATGTGGAAGAAGAACATGCACCGTCTTGATGCTACGGAGGTTGTGCTTAAGAAAGATAATTGGGAAGATCGTGTGTTGGCAAAGAGTCTTAGGATTGTTCATAAGTTTCTGTACGAGGATTGCTCACGTGTCACAAGTGGTGGTGGAGCTGGTGGTGGTGTGCCGGCAAAAATTGCGTCTGTGGCAGGGGTAACCCATTAGAGGTAGGGTCGAGCCAGCAAGAGAAGAATCAAAAATATATATTATAACCACACCACTGACATTACAATATTATTTGGCATTCCCACATATTTTTTTCTTATTTTTTTCTCTCACTCCACTCCCCTTTGGGTGGGGTCATGTCATTGGTAGCAAAAGGTTTACTTGTATACTTACTAGCGGTTGCTATACATATATCTATAATATATTATCCTTTTTTTTAATTAAACTAGTTGACACTTGACAGTTCTTATATTATACAATATTAAATGTTACATAAGATCGATGTAATGTAGTGTTACAAGTTACAACAATTACAACAACCGATCGAAACGCTTAACACTGATATAGGCTAAATTAAGTATTTTAATATTGGAGTTTAGATATATTACACAATGCTTGCATTGTTCGCTTATTTGTTGTATATATGGATTATGGCATAATTGACCGTTGTAAACTTGCAACCAACAAGTTAGATGCAGATGAGATAATTAAAAATGCCATCAAAACTTTTGATATCGATGGTGAATTTGAATATCTATAAAAAGGAAAATTACAATTATATCTTCTGAAATTTATTAAAATGACACTGATATTTCACTTCTAAATATATACTAAGTCTTCTTAATATTACATACACCAAAGAAAATTTTTTATAACACACAAAATAATGTATAGATAAATATTATCTATATCTATGATTTTGATTGTCAGTAAAAATTAAAAGAGATGTAATATTATTAATTAAAAAAAATTAATGTATATTTTAAAATTAAAAGAAGTTTTAACCGATCTCAAAATATAATTTCCTTAAAAAACTAGTTTTCTTATGATATTTCATTATTTAAAAAAATTTGTTTTTTATTTGGTATTTCACCTAATAAAATGAGAAGCATTGTCAAAAAAAATGTAAAAAAGAAAAAATTGAACCATGAAAAATGGCTACTAGAATATTGATTAAAGAAACAAATTACCTATTGGCTATATACTAGTGTTGAATTTTAAAGTATGTTTAATCAGTGGCAAAGATAGAAATCTCAGATATCATAATTATATCATGTCTCAATTTAATATTATGCAAATAATTTAATTTAATTTTAAAACTTACCACATCTTATTTTTTAAGTTCAAATTTTTAGCCTAAAAAAAATGAGTTGAAAACCAATAGAATGAGATAAAAAAAATAAGTTACTAATTTATTCTTATCAATTAGTAATTTATTTTTATATTTTTATTAAAATATAGAAATTGAAATATATTATAAATGAATTTAATATATTATTATAAATTATTAATTATATTATATTAATAGTTTCATAAATTGAAACTATAATGACATAATTTTGAATATCTTTTATAAATTCATTAATATATATATATATATATATATATATATATATATATATATATATATATATATATATATATATATATATATATATATATATATATATATATATATATATATATATATATATATATATAAAAGTAATTTCTTTAAAAGTTTAATTTTGTATTTTGAAAATATATATTATCATTTTATTATCATTTATGAGATATGTTTTAGTTAGTTCAAATGTGTTAAATTTTGGATATGTATGGTAATCCTTCCACGATTTGAAAGGTGGTATAGTATACTATATGTATGTGAGTGAATAAAAAAGAAACAATTGGCAGGCATATAGGTGAGAAGCAAATTGAATAGGAATCTTGCAGCACCATCACGAGTGGATGAATGGATGGGTTCTTTCTTATTTTCTTGAGAATATTAGGATCAACTTAATTCCAAGTCCCACCCAGTGTTTCATTTTTCTTTTTGACTTAACTACTTCGCCGCATTCCCTTTTCTGATTCTTCCGTACCGATCGTTTTAATACGGTGCACCTTCTTCAAACTTCATAAAGTTGCATATATGTGGGGTCTAATCCATTCTTGAAGGTGGATCCTCAGGCTGCTTTAATCAACATCAATGGATATATACGAGAAAACCAAAATCAAAGAACTTACTTAGAGATTTGACCTGTTAATGATTAAATTCATCAGTACTTGGTAATGCTAAATCTAGCTATATATCACGGAAATGAATTTTCTCTTCAAGAATATGTATCAGATTATCGAGCATACTTGTCCTAAAATTTCATAGAAACTTTATTCTCCTTGTTAAATCAGATTATTATTTTGCAGGTACATTGATTGTGTGACTCAAACTATTGACTAATTATAACTACTACGTGCCAATATATATTCTTATGCCAAGTGTTTATGGGGAATCTTGAAAAAGAGAAAGAAAAAATAAAAGGAAGGAAATAGTTATAAAAATGGTGGTGGCACAATGCACTAACTCTGACTTCTTATCCCACGTGATTCCAAATTCATACAGTTTGCCTTTTATACTCCCACTCACCATCAAATATCATTACAGAGTATTACTATTTATTATGCACAAATGTTATTTTTATTTTAATATATATATATATATATATATATATATATATATATATATATATATATATATATATATATATATATATATATATATATATATTACGATAATAGTGGACTAAAATCAAAACCCTCAATAATTATATAACTCTGATGTTAATGTTCAGGGACTATTTTTGGTGACTTAAAAGTTAGGGTAACCAACAATTAAATCGTCTCTAGGCATTATCTATTTTCAATATTTTCTAAATATTTTTTCTATTGTATTCATGACAACAAATGACTCAACTTTGAAGGCATTAGACACATCTAAATTGGTTGTAAATAAACTCAAATTGATATAAATTGCACAACAAACTGTTTGGCTAGGGTTACCAATGCTAGCTCCATCAAATTTGCCTTTTATCCCATAAAGAGAAAGAGGGTGCAAAAAACATTCTTTATGGTTGAGGAAACAGTAGGATGAATCTTGACATTGAAGGATTTTAGAAGCACATAGTCTATCATTGAAGAATTTAATTTAAAATTAGTATCATTTCCAACCATGGATACTTTGGAAATAATCAAACCAATATCAAGCTTAATGACTTTGTTATTGAATTTTTTTTAATATCCTATTATATTGTTAGAACAAGATTTGTTCATTCTCTTAAAAATTTTTGATGATAACAAAATATTTGAAGAACAATGGGTTTACTAATGGTTATTCGAGTATGCAGGATCAAAAGACATTAACCTTGATATAAATCATTTAATCACTCATGAGAAGAATTGTTAAAGGGAAGCAAAGTTGTTATGAATCTGAAGGATCAGAACCAAGCTTTCAGAATCTAAAGAGTCAACTCAAGTCTTTCAGATGCTGAACCAAAGCTTACTTGGATCAAAAGATCTGCTCAGCTCTATAATCATTTGAAGCAAGCAGACTGTTATAAGGAACGACTCTGCATCTTCTAAACAAGCTTCATTATAATTCTGAAGATACTGCTTCAAAGGAATTTTTCTATATTAAGTTATCAACTCTACAAGTGATCATCCAGACTACATTAAATCATCAACTCTGATGAAGACAAGACTCAGAACTGTTAGAACAAGATATGTTCTTGACATATTCTCTTTTAGTTTTGATGATAACAAAAGTATTAAAAGAGCAATAGTTTATTTTATGTGTGTTTTATTTATGCAAGTTCTTATTCTTATATATAAATAATCAGAAACTATTTTACTTACACACACTTGGGAGTTGCTTTATTGCTAGCTTCTGGTGACAGAGTCTGAAGAACAATTGCTAGTGTAGCTTGGTGGAAACTCTGAGCTGAAGGCCTCAACATTCAGACCAGTTACTACACTTGGTAATTGTATATTAGCATACGGTATCATTCAGAGTTGGTGATAAAGTTGCGGATTTTCCGTACTGCAGAAAGCAAGTTGTATTGTCTTATCAGCTTGTCAACTAGAGTCTACAAGATTGGAAGGCTCAAGAAAGGTTGATATGTTCTACGGACGTCTGCTCCCAACGGCTCTATTAGTATAAAAATTCTTAAAGACTCAAAGGTTAAATGTGTTACACACTGGATTCAAAATCTGTTGTGTATCTATCTTCAACGTCTCTTGTACTATAGAGTAAAAGTAAAGACACTTGATCAAGTCACTTCCTCAATGGCTAGTTTTTGAAAAGGCTATATATATGGTTGAAGACTCAAGTTTGAATCTTAACAAGGATTCTTCTAATGAAGGAGTAGCAAGATCAAACAATTATTAACTCTAATGTAATATGCAGATTTTTTATTTTAGGTTGTAATTGTAAAAGCCTTAAGATTTCTTACCATTGTATATATTAGAAATATTAATAGCTTTAGGTCTTTGTTATGGTGATTTCCGGTACCTCTGATACTTGTATCATATACACCTTGTTCTCTATTCTTCTAAATTTACAGGAGTTTAGATTAAGTCTCCTGCTATGTGCTTGAGCAGAAAGTCTTATCTCATTGGGATTTAAGCAACAAGTCTTGAGTCAAGATGCTAAGCCACATAAGTCACATTGCTTAAGTGCTTGAGTTGTGACAGTCTTATTCAACTAGTCTGATTGAGCAAGGGGAAGTCTCCATCTGAGGGGCGTGAGCAAGAAGTATCGAGTGCAGCTTGAGCAAGGGAAGTCTTAGTCTGGATGGCCAGAAAAGCAGGTGGCTCGGCCAGAGGATGTGAGAAAAGGGAAGTCTTAGACATGTGCTATAAGCAAAGGAAAGTCTCAATCAGAAGACAGAAGAGCGGGTGGCTCGGTCAGATGGTGTGAGCAAAGGTTAAGTCTTAGACATGTGCTCTAAGCAAGGGAAGTCTCAGACAGTTAGTCTGAGTAGTTGTAAAAGTCTTATGCAAAAGTATAAGCGATTGTAATCATGAAGTGGTTATAATGAAAATCTCTTATGAGGCAATGGGACTGGACTACTCTCAGTTAGGGGAGGAACCAATATAAATATTATGTGTCTTATGTTGTTATTTTATTTACTTCTGTTATATTCGCTGCCAAACGAATTAACTCAGAATCTGAACATCAGTTCTGATTC